TTCTACGGTTCAATTAAGGAAAAAGGTGACGTGGAAATCGTCGATTCATCGCCAGAGGCGTTCAAAGAATTTTTGCAGTGTTTTTACCTCGGCACTGTTACATTCACAATGGAGCACATCCCTGAAATCATGTATTTGGCCAATAAAAACATGGTCGCCGACTGCATGGATGGATGTGCCAAATATCTGACAGACAATTTATCATGGACCAACGTTTGCTGGGTGTATGACTTGGCCATACTGCACGAACACCAACAGTTGAAGCAATTTTGTAATAAATTCATTATTTCGAATGCTGAACGAGTGCTAGAATCGTATGGATTCCTCGTTTGCAGTCAAAAATTGTTACGTGAAATTCTTAAATTGAATCTTCGTTGCAAAGAATCAACCGTATTTAATCGCTGCTTGGCTTGGGCAAAGAATGCATGCCAAAAAAACGAGTGGATGGACGAAAAAAATGGATTGAATTTGCGGTACCAATTGGGCGATTGTTTGTTCTTAATTCGATTCGGAACAATGACAATTCAGGAATTTTCGAAAGCCACACTCAAGTGTGTTGGAATGTTTACAGCTGATGAATTAGGCGATATAATGCATTCTATAACGTTAAAGAAATTTGTATCTAAAAAATTTAATCAAAATCCTCGAATTTTCTGGGACGAGAGCAAAGTTTGGAAGTGTGTGTCAAGTCAAACAAATTCTGCAGCGCAACAACTCCAAAGCCGTGAAAGTGTTTTCATTACGTCGAACAAGATGACGTTGCTTGGCGGAGTGGGTTTTACCTACATTTATGATGGTCATAACGCTCTCAGTGTATTGAATGCAAAAGTCAGCATTGTGGAAATAAACGGCCATTCATTTCCTACCGAAACGGGAACCATTCTAATTGAAGAGACGATGAACATTCATTGCCGTCCAGTAAATTACATGAAGCTTCCGATACCAACCGTTATCAATGCAAGCAACACATACCAAATTTGTATAGAATTTTCAAACTACCACAGAATGGCCTACGCTTCCAGATGCAGTCTTGGCGAAGTAACATCAGAGAAGGGCCTAAGCATTGCATTCCAAAATGATAGCGGCCGCGGGCATATAATTTATGGCTTGAAGGTAATCGACCTATAGCTCGAACATTTGTTGGAGATTTGATTTTATTGATTTTCGACGACAACATTTTCTTTCATATAAACAACGAACAAAACAAAAATAAATTCAAATTTTAAACAATTGCATTTGAACGAGAAAAAAAACAATACATTTTGAAAGCTTCTTTAAAACAATATTTCATTAACTTTTGTACTAAATGAAAGCTTTATAAATCCACAATTCCATTGATTTCAATGATCTTATTCTATCATTTGTTTTTTTCCAAACTTTTAAACAGGCAACCAGAAAGCACATATAGAATTTCAATTTGATTGATAGGCTATTTCAAATATATAAAGAAAGAGGAAGGTGAGATGGTCTTTTTGTTTCATGATTCCATCAACGGAAATAAGTGCATTATTCGGAAGATAATTAAGATTTATCAATGCTCAATGTTTCTAATATTTTCTATCTAACTGTTACTTATAAAAGAATATAAATGGAACACTTCATCGATATATATCAATCGTTGAAATAAGATGATTATTTTAAAGATATTTTAAAATTGTATACCCAATAGTTGAACTCAATCAATAAATTCCTCTCTGCAAAATTTCTCACAAGAAATGTGACCGTTTGATTCTATTAATTTCGTGATTATTTTTAATATTTGCATTTGTTGTCAAACTTAACATGTAACACTTGCCTTTCCCAAGAAATAAGGTCTCTTACTGTGTGAAATTCTCTCGGAATATTCCAAACATTTCCTTCTTTTCTGGAAGTAATTCCATCCCAGTGATGAGTTTCATCTCAAAACGTGGCTATAGAATTGTAAAACATTCTCTTTCAAAGAATTTTTGATTTTGGATTTTTTGTATAAATTTGTTTGAAAAATCCTTTTTCCTAGGGGAAAATATCGAATAAAATAAGTTACGAATATGCTGCGTATAAGAATATAAACCGAAGAATATTTGCAAATAATATTTGCAAATAACTCCGTATATATGTGGTTTATACGCATTAAATTCATACACATCAAATGGCAATAGAAAGAAGCCAAAAGGTGCAAAGAAAGTGCGCAAGGGCAAAACAACAAAGAAATCAAAGTTGAAGAAGCACAAGTGTAGTGTATGCAGTTATTCGACATCAGACAAGTCAATACTCACACGGCACATGCGTGTTCACACCGGCGAGAGGCCCTTTACTTGTGAAATATGTGCAAAAGCTTTTAATCACAAGTATAATCTCAATCGTCTTAAGAAAGTCCATGCAGCAAAATTACCGTTCCGTTGTTCGAAGTGCCAAATTGGCTTCACAGAAGAAATCGAGAAGATTAACCACGAAATTAAATGCAAACGGCCCCAATACCAATGCCATTTATGTAAGAGCACAAGCCAGGATTTGTCACATCTGAAAGAACACATGCGAATCCATAATGGCGTGAAGCCATTCAAATGCCGTGTTTGCTCCAAAACATTTACTAGAAAATACCATTTATGTGCATTCACGATCCCATGTCGAACAACTGCTATTTGACTGCCGGAAATGCGGCCAACGATTCAAAGACGAAAACCATAAGAAATGGCATGAAGATCGTTGTACTCAGTACAAATGTTTTAACAAAAGTCTCTTGCAGTGGCACATGCAATCAAAGCACACTGGTGAAAAACCATTTTCGTGCGGTGTATGTCAAAAGGCATTCCGTCAGAAAAGGAATATTAAGCGACATGTGGCAACGCACAACAGAAAACAACCGATTTGTTGCTCAAAATGCTGGAAGAAGTTTGCAGAAGAAGGCGACAAGAAGGAACACGAAGAACGGTGCAAACGACGGACCGACCAGTGCTATTTATGCAAAATTGTAATGCGAGATTCAACACAATTGAAAGGCCATATGCATACTCACCATACTGGCGTTAAACCATTTTCATGCGAATAGTGTGAATTGCTCTTTACATGGCGATGTGCTGCCAAACTTCACATGAAAAATATCCATCAATTGAAGGTGTTGAAAACGCACAACAATTAAAGAGAGTTTTAGATTCGAATTCATTCCTGTTTCAACACTGGCACAAAAAAACCTTTCCATCTTAATTTTTCTAATAATAAATCTGTAAAATAACATATGTATCATAAAGATTGGCACAAACTGAGACATTTATTAGAACGCAATAACAAACACAAAAATGTCAACCAACGCACGTAGTGCATTTATCGGTACCTCGAGACTACTGTCAAACTCAATCCGACGTAATACATTCATTCGCGATGGCGTACAAATTGGATTTACGAAAGTCTGTCGCAAACTGCTTTGGACAGCTAAGTACAAACGAAATCCTGCATGTGTCTAAAGATGAACCAATCTGTCTTCGAACCATGTATTGTGTTTCATGGACTTAGTATGAAGACAAAGATTCTAGAGAAAGCAAAAAGTATAGTCGTATTCCTAATTTAAATGCTCAAACCCTTCAAAATTGTCATCAAGTACCGAAAACCGGGTTGGTCAAGCAATAATTCATTTTTGGTGATTCTTATGGTTAACACATTCAAATCTGAACCAAAACAATAGATTTAGACACGATCATTAGGAATCAGCAAAATAAGTTACGAAAAAATTCCAAATAGTGGCGAATATTGGATGTTTACTTCATCTCATAGCATGTTGCACTGAAAAATTCATCATTTTGGACAGTGAAACATTCATCGTCAAGTCAAACCACGAATCAAGTGCAAGTGGTTTCTTTTGCATTGATTATGTTAGGGCACTACTATATAAGGCTAGAGACGTTGACAAACCGAACTTTTATAAAGGGTGTTTGTATGGTAGGATCATCTTAAGAAGGTGTTTTAGAGCCATTATTCGAAAATTTAGTGCTGAAATGTAAGGTTAAATCTCCATTACTTGCTCCATTATCAACCAATTATTGTTGAAATCGATAGGATTCGTTGAGAACTATCTGATTAAAGACAAAATTGTGCTTGCAAGCAGAAAAAACCACAATAATGGCTCACTTCTTAAAAAATAGAATTTCCATGAAAAAAGGACCATCTGTTTAACTTCACAAAAAGACACCAATTTAATTATTTCTAGTCTGTTTTTGGGTGTATGTTATAGACGAAGGTCCAAAATACTTGAGAAAAATTGAAGACAAAGGTCCATTAAGTGTAAAGTGAATGTGCTATTCGATAGCTTATGAATAATGGTTTATACCAATAAAAAAGAACTTATTAATGTGTGTTTGTTGTTCAAATGGCGAAAGTCTCAATTTGTGCCAATGTTTATGATACATATGTTACACTGAAAACCAATCGGGTAAGTCTATGAAGAGGCAAAATGCGAATGCCCCTCATCTGTGCCATCTTTCATTCAATAGTTGAACTCAATTTAGTTACACTGCATGAATCGAAAAAGAGAAAAAAAACAACAACAGTAACATGGCTACATAGATCTGTTGACCAGTAAGATACGTATAGTAGTGGGATGGAAGAATGAACAGAGCGTATATGTGTATGTATGCATCGGCACGCACAGTACAGCTCTGTGTGGCCGTGTTATTATTGTTGTTTTTTTTCTCTTTTCCATTTCAATGGTAGGGAACTAAATTGAGTTGAGAGAACTCATGTATGATGGCGCTGATCAGCGAGACTCGCATACAATAACTTCTGAACTCATATATGTCTTACACGGTTGCTGAAAACAATGTTTCTTGAGTTTTTTTTATTTTATTATTCAGAATATTATGTATTTTCCCTAAACTGCTAGCTGATATACCTTCTCTTCAAGTAGTTCGCCACTCTATTATGGTATAGTTATTCATGGCTGTTTTTCTTGCAACTCTCAAATGGATTCTATTCCATTGAACTGCTCAATTTAAACAAACTAGGAAACTGGAATAGAAAAATGTACAATATACGATTCAAAATATCACACTTTTGTGTTTATTTGTTCGCATCTTAATTACATTCAAAGTCAACATTTTTAGTTTTGGCAATTTTATGGTCCGTGATTCTCTTTGAATTGTCTGAAAAGTGTAGTTCGATGTCTTCAAGTGAATAGTTTTCTGTTTCGGGTAAAATGAAGTACATTAAAATAAATGCAACACCAGTAACGACGGCATAAAAAAGAGAAACGCCCGGCAACGAAAGCGATAACTCCAAGTTGTAATACGTTTTTCTGGTGACAAAACCAAAAATACAATTAAATGCGGATAAGAAACCGCATGCTATGCCACGGGACCTACAAATGAAGAGAAGAAACTAAGTCAATATTTCAGCACCGACCAACAATTGAAGAAAAATGTCTTTTTTGTACATGAATAAATGTTAATTTAAGTTAGCATAGGGTGAAATAGCTCTCGGAGGTGAAAAACTCAAAAAAGCAAAATTCAAGTACGCGGTCATCTAAAATGAAGAGTAGGCCATTGGGTACTTCAACGAAATCCGGAACCCTCAAAGGGGGTTTACGGAGTGGTTACCACCTAGTTTTTTTGTTCCAGTAGAAAATTTGGTACTCGAATTTTGATTTTTTGGGGATGTAATGTAGTAGTTAGAATGATTTGTCGGTTTTAATTTTCACAGAAATTCATTAATGTAAACAAAAAAAAAGTAATTTTTCGTCAACACGAATATTTCACCATCAAAAATAACGTTCAGCGCTTACTTGAATGGAAACATTTCCGACATTAACATCCATGGTATCGAATAGTAACCACAATACGACAGAAAACTCCATGACATCAGGCAAATTAATGGAATATAAGCCAAATTTTCCAAATGAACTGATTCATGTGCTTGATCAAATGAATTGTAGCCACTTGGAAGGTAAACAAATCCAAAGCAAGAAAGAATCATTGAACAGACAACTATTCCAAATGCCACGGTCAAATAAATACGTCGTTTGCCGGTTAACCGAACGATAAGGATAACTGTGAGCGATCCAATATTGTCTAAAAATCCCATGATTGTCGCTGCTTCATCGGGTTGAATGGGAATTTTGTAAGCTTTGAATATTTGCACAATAAATGCTCTCATCGAAAATGACCCTGAGATTGTGGCAAATAAAAACATCGTAATCACAATGAAAAACGGTTTGAGTGTTGGTTTTCGTTTTAATTCGGCCAATTTTTCAATCATCGTTGGCGTCGAATGAGCACATTTCACTTTTTGTTTGATGCACTCATTACACGATTTCGTGTGTTCCATATGTCGCTGTAAACTGTGGAGCTCTTGAGCCACAGCTTCACTTGCCACCCAGCCTCTCAACCATCGAAGTGCAGACTCAGCGTCAGCAGTTCGATTCTTCGAAAGTTCGCCATGCCATAAAGGTATTCAATAAATATATTGTGAAAATTCCAGATGAACCATAAATGTATGCTTTAAATATTTGCAACATATACGGTCTCATTGCCATAATGCCTGTAAACGGCATCAGGAAAAAGAGCGTGATAATAATGCAGAGCGGTTTTAGCGTTTGTTTTTGTTTTAATTCGGCAAACTTTTCACTCATGGTTGGCAGCGCATGAGTACATGCTAAATCTTGTTTGATGCAAGTGTAACATGATTTTGATCGTTCACTTTGTCGCTGTAAATCTTCGAATTCTTGAGCCACAACCTCATATGGCACCCATCCACGCAGGCGGCTGAGCGACACTTTGGCCTCAGCAGTTCGGTTCTTCAAGAGAAGCCGATAGAAACCATGATAATTAATCAATCAATTACACAAATGAAAATATTAATATATCTATTGAAAATATGGAGAGAAGAGTATGTTATTCAGCGCTTATAGTAGCTTCATAATGTCTGAATAAAAACATACTCTCCTCTCCATATTTTCAATAGAAATTAGAACTAGTATATCATATATTTTGTATTCATTTTTTTAAATCCCTATTCTGAAATGAAAAAAAAAACAACAACAAAAAATTATAATTTTTTTTTTTTTTTGAGGTATTAAGCAAGCTCCAGTCTGTCTTACTGGCTGCTGACAGACAAAGAAGAGCTATTTTTTTTTCTTACTGTAACATACGATATGTGTATGTATATTGAGTAAGTTTACGTTAAATTTTATCAAACTTGTTTAGAAGAAATCTTTTTCTTGAAAAAAATAATAATAATAATGAAAGCAAATGATGAAAAATAGCTCGACCTTGGCGACATTAAAGCTGCTTGAAAAGGAAAAATTAATATGTAATGGAAATTGTTATGTGATTGTTATACTTACACATACCTAATATATGTGCGTACATATATTTTATAATTTCAGTACCTGACCGAGAGAGAGAGAGAGAGGTAGAGAAAGAGAGGTAGAGAAAGATTCTTACCCGGATGTGTGTGTGTGTGTGTGTAGTAGTAGTAGTAGTAGTAGTAGAGCCTCCGTATTCTGCAATATTGATGAATTTTCTCGTCCCTGCAATTTCTATTGAGTCTTACGATAGATAAATAGATAAATGACAATGAAACATATTATTAAATTATGATAATATGCATTAGAAATAATAAATAAAGAAACAAATATTTACCGTTTGATTTATTTCCATTTTTTCCCGATGCTACGATGCTATTATATAAGACATTATAATACAATTGTTGAAATTTGCAGTGAGACGGCGCCGCTGCCGAGAGCTCGAGTTCAGTTGGCTTATTTTATTGTTGTTGTTGTTGTTGTTGTTGTTGTTGTGGTGGTTGTTGTTGTGGTGGTTGTTGTTTGGTCTGTTTAAAAAAAAAAAAAAAATGAGTTAATATGCGCTACGTATACGTACATACATTAATATACAGCACATTAAAAATGATGCAAAATGATGATGCTAATAATTATTATTGCATTTGATGTATTAATATAGTAGGCATAGCACATTTTGATGTGCTGTGTATTGATGTATATATGTATGTACTTATGTAGTTAGTAAAATGAATTTCGCATTGAAATTGCAAACCAAATGAATGACCAACTATATATTGTATAATATATGATGATGATGATGATGATGATGATGATGATTTTTTTAAACTCACCCGCAAGTTTTATTTAATTTAATTTAAATTTAATTCAACAATTTTCCACTGCAAATTTCGTAGGTCATTTTCTGTCTAAAGTATTTCATATGCTGTTGTGTAAATGTAATTGGTCGATATCGGGTTAAAAATTCGGCAAACATACAGACGAAAACGCCACAGTCGTAGCCATTCTGTTGCGTTGGAATGTCCTTGACATTTTCCATTTTCAAGCTATTCGAATTGAATTTATCTATAGATATATGTTTGGCTTTTGCTTCAGCCTGTAGATAGGATTGAACAGCGTACAAAGCTACATTGTTTGGTTCAGCATTTGAATCGTAATATTTTATCGACTTGAATTTAAAATCAACGACTATCAAGCACCAATGATCTTTTTCTGCTATATGCAGAGGAATCAAAACCATGTTCTTTTCAAAGATATTGATTGGTGATTTTGTCCATCGCTTGACACCGTCATGCCCCTTCTCGATTAAACGTTCCATAAATCTGGTGTTCATTACATGTACGCTTGCCGATTCTTTTTTTTTCTTTTTTTGTTCATTTCGGCGGCCACGCTCGGCCAACATTTCAAAGTAAAAATCAATTAATTTATCGTTTAGCCATTTTTGATTGACCTCGAGCTCTCGGCCATAGCGCAAACGTTGTATATCGTCGTATGTTATGGTTAAATTATATTTGACTATCACCGGCATGCTACTAGTGCTATCATTGGTGCTGCTAATTGCTTTTTCGGTGCTTTGCCATTCATCGATTTTTTTCATTTGGTCGGCGTTCAATTTTGGATAGTCGTATGCCTTTGCCTGGGCCGCTGTTAAATTGCAATGCAATCGTTCCATATGTCTTTTTAAATAAGTCATATGTGATAATTTTGCATCACAAATTGGGCATTGATGCAGTGGGACATGTGTGTGTGTGTGTTTTATATGTTCGTACAACGCTTGTTTTGTTAGAAGTTCCTTTTTACACATAAAACATTCAAAATGTGTGATGGTTTGCTGTGTTGTAAATTTTCTAACTACTTTATCATTTTCATGCATTCCATATATGTGTCTGTTTAAGCCTGGTCTATATTTCGTCTCGAAATCACATTGTGAGCAATGAAATTTATAAGCAGCGTCTGTAGTACTACTATGTTTTCTTTTCATATGCTTTTTCAATGCTTCTTCAGTTGTAAATTTCGTTGGGCATTGATCACATTGGATCGTTTTTCTATTCTGCCGTTCGCATGCAATTTTGTTTTTCTTATGTCTCGCCATATTTCCCATGGTATTTGTCTTGTAGCTACATTTGTCGCATTTATACCATAAACTTTCTGGTAGATAATGTTGTCTTTTTTCATGTAGTTTTTTGTCTTTATTTGTTGTAAATCTCATATCACACACATTACATTTGAACATTTTTTCAATTGGCTGCGGAAAATGACATACTTGCATATGTTTTTTTATGAAATGAAACTCATCCATTACATGATTGCATAAATAACACACATAACCCCGCGCCTCTCGATGTCTTTCGCTCACTCTTATCGTGTTTTTGATAATGGCCGATTCATTTGTTAAATTTTCTTTGAGCATTTCGCCAAAACGATCCATTTCCGCCCGGCTGCCAATTATTTGTTTAGTGTCTTTTTGTCTCATCACAGTTAAATCTAAATGGCGATTGACATTTTCGTCCTGGGTGAATGAAATCAAGCAACTTTCCGCCCATCGTGGATCGTACTGTAGCTTTCGAATGTATCTGATTTGGATTTTGCGAATGCTGTGTTCAATGATTGCATCAATAATCGAAATATAAATGGCCTCCATTTCCCCATAATCAATGCCCATATTTATAAAATCAATTACTTTGTGTAAATATATCGAGTGTTTAGCGTCTATTCGAAACTGATACATTGTTTTTGGATTGAATGGTCGATTTGTTTGGCCGGGATACAGCATAAACATGTCACCTTTCACATTAAATCCGATTATGCAGTACAAAGTGTAAGAGTTGTTCGGTTGGAGACGATTTTTATACAGCATTCGGAATTTGCGATGTATTTTGTTGTCGATTAATTCCATTTCCATTAATTCAATGTCATGTTTAACCGTTGGATTTGAGCTAGATACAGTGAATAATAATAATTGAATAATATGTGTGAATGCGGTAATATCAATCGCGTTAGAAGAAGAAGAAGAAGAAGAAGAAGAAGAAGAAGAAGAAGAAGAAGAAGA